AGCCTGCGGCAGAGGGGAGAGAGAGAGTGAAAGAAGCGTTTCTCAGACTGACCTGTTTGTATTGCAATTGAAAAAGGAGACTGCTTTGCTTCAGAAGGCCGTCATTGCCATATCGGGTGTTGTATTTATAGCGCTCGCTTTGACAAGCCCTTGCCAGAGTGCAATTGACCTGAAGAGCGATTCTGATTCTGTACCTTGGCAGGGCATTGTGAGAGGGAGTGTGAGTTCACTGGTAGTCGTTGACAGGTTGATTACTTGCTGAGGTGATGCAGTGAGGAAGACAAAGCCCCACAGATGAAGAGGGAGGAGAGAGAGCAGACATCCTTCAGTCTTCTTATTCTTCTGTGTGGGCCTGTGACTACATTGCTATTTGTTGGCCAGTTGTTATTCACTACCCTTTGCAAGTATTTGCGTGATAATGAAGTTGCGAGCTTCAGGAGTGGGGTCGATTACACATCGGTGTTAGGATGCAATAGCTCCTGTGATGTTACTGATGGTAGGGACAAGGTCTGTTCTTCCCATCCGGGTGCGATCAACAACCAATGTGATGTTATTCAGATTGCTAACTGGAGAACATTCTGCGGTAGGTGATTTGTCAAAGTTATTTGGCAGATCGATTGCACTGAAGTTATGGTGGGGGATTGTCCCCAGTTTGGGGTCTGTCACACAGATGCACTGGTTTCAGGAGTTGCTATTTTCTGCAATGCCTCTGATGGCGTAGAGTGTTGATTCCTTGTAGACCTCTTTCTTCTTATTCTCTCTGATCATAGGTATGAGTAGGAGCTGCTACTCTGCTGCACCCAGACAGCATCGTCACTCTTCTGCAGCTATTTGAAACTTTTTCACCACCCGTTTCCTGTGACTTCTCTCTAAGGAAGGAAGTGCTGTGGAAGTTGCCACGGGACTTGCAAAATGCGTTTTTCTCGGAGCCTCTCGGGGGTGCTTTCGTTGTAACTCTGATTGTAGACGTACTTGTCCGCACATGTGATTGAAAGCCTAGGAATGAGTGTACACACACACACACACACACACACACACACACACACACACACACACACACACACACACACA